TGGCAACAATTGTGAGGCTGGCCCAGGACCGGGCAGTGTTTCTTTCTGTTGTACATAAGGGTCACTATGAGTTGGTACCTACTTGAGGGCACCTAACAACAACAACGATAACAACAACCTTGTGATTCAAACAGACCTTGTGGTCCAGTGCTTATCCTTCAGCGACACACCAGGACGCTGTGACCTATCAGAACTCTGTTGTGCTTGTAGTTTGTTGTTGTTAGGTGCCATCTAGTAGGTACCGACTCATAGCGACCTTATGCACAGCAGAACGAAACACTGCCCGATCCTGGGCCAACCTCACTGTTTTTGCCACACTTGAGTCCATCGATGCTGCTACTTTGGCCAATCCATATTGTTGGGGGTCTTCCTCTTTTTCTCTGACCCTCCACCTTACCAAATATGATATCCTTCTCCAGTGACTGGTCCTTCCTGACAATATGTCCAAAGGATGAGAGATGAAGTTTGGCCATCTTGGCCTCCAAGGTTGTGCTAATGCTTATTAAATCTTTCTGGTTTTCCTCTTTTTTTTTTTGATGTGCAAGTGTATTCTTTTTCTTTGAGGTTAACTTGTAATTTATTAATTTTTTCCCTGCTCAAAACAATCTGTTTTATCTTGAAATCTACTTGGCTTCCTTGCCATTTGGAAGTTCTGTATCTACACCATTCCCTCTTTTTTTACTTTGTAGTTGACTTCATTATACATTGATATCTTTGGTTCCCTATTTTTAGACTTGTAGATTTGTTTTACTTTAAATACTTCTATATCTGAATTGAGTTCTGGGTAGTTTTACCATATATGTTAATCTAAGATTGTTGTCTGTTATTGGTTTTCAGTCCAAATAATACCCTTAGCATAATTTTTGTAAAATTGGTCTGGTCATTACAGATTCCTTTAATTTCTGCTTATCAGCAAATGTCCTAATTTTGCTGTCGTATTTGAGGACAACTTTGCTGGGTATATGATTCTTGTTTGACAATTTTCTTTTCTTGCAGAGTTTTGTTTACGTTATCCTATTGTCTTCTTGCATGCATTGTTTCTACTGAGAAATCAGAGCTTAGTCTTATTGGTTCTCCTTTGTAGGTAACTTTTCATTTTTTCTGAGCTGCTCTCAGGTTTCTTTCCTTGTCTTTTACTTTGGAAAGTTTGATTATAATATGTCTTGGTGATTTTCTTTGGCAATCTATCCTGTTTGGGGTTCATTCAGCTTCTTGTATGCATATCTTCTCGTCTTTCATTAAGTTAGGGAAGTTTTCTTCCAACAACTCTTCAACAATTTCATCTGTGTTTGCTTCTTCCTGTTGTGTAATTCCAATCACCTGTAAGTTGTTCCTCTTCATGATGTTCCATATAACTCTTAGGCTTTCTTCAGATTTATTTTTCATTCTTTTTTGTGAATTTCTTTCTAGCATACTAATATTGAGAGAAATCTTCAAGCTCACTAATCTGGACTTCCATTGTTTGGTATCTACTCACTACTCCTTTGCCCATTCAACGTATTGTCCATTTCTGAGATCTTTTGGATTTCTAATTTTAGGGTTTGTATTGTTTCAAAATTTGCATGTATTTTTTCTGTTCTTGTAGTTTTTCCTGAATTTTTCTCAAGTTTGTATTTTTTTCTCCTTGCTTTCTTTGATCTTTCTATTGATTCTTTGATGGTACCTAATTATCATTTTTTGGTTTTTGGTTTTTTTTTTTTCCCAGTTCCATCACCTTTTATTCCTCAGGAAAATTTTCTGGCTCTGCACCTTATTTGTTTGAGCCATTTTCTCTTGTTTCTTGAGCTCAAATTGTTGTCTTTGGGGCATTATAATGTGTATTTGTAAAAACAAGCAGAGCAGTTGTTTGAGTTTGACCAGAGGGGAGAAATATGTAGGAGCTCCTGGAATTCACAGAGCTCAAAAAGTGGTTGTGGAAGGGATGTGACCTTAGAGTTCCTGGCTCTAGATAAAATTCCTATTGGCCTAGGTGTTATCTCTCTTCAGGGTACTCAATCCAGAAGTATTTTGTGGGGGCCATTGATGGATCTGATTTCAGTGTCTATTAAGACCACTAGGAAGCTGGGACAGTGTGGCTGGTTTAATGCTGGTCTGGTGATCCTGCGGGCTCTGTAGGTCTGGAGCCAAGCCTACCTGAATTTAGACTTCAAAGTGGTGCAGCCAGCCCCCACCCCACACTGGTGTGGCTCCCAACCATGTGGCTCCAAAATCACAGAGAGATGAGTCTGCACTGGAGGTGGATAAGGGTGGGAGCTGGCCACACTTTTGGTCACTAGGAGAGCATGGAGAAAAAGAAGACATCACACCTTTTCTGTTGCCTCCTCCACTGCCAAAGCTGTTTACAAGATGGTACAGCTGTGTTTGGCCAGCTGTTCTCCCACTCTTACTGTCCCTGTTTGGCATTTCCTTCCAGCAAGCACTCTATCCACCTTTCTAACCTAGTTCAGGATGCCAGAATTTTCATCTGTGTCCATTTTATTTTGTCTTTTGTATCTTTGTTATAGAGGGTTCATATAGTGCGTCTGCCTAGTCAGCTGTCTTCGCCTCTACAACTTTTGTTTTGAGTTGTGTGTTGTTTTTTTTTAATATATTGTTGCTGTTTATAATCATCTTATTAATATCCTACATTGACTCTTCTTACTCATTTGAGCAATTTTTAAATCTCTGTTGCACCTGAATTTCATCAAGTTGGATGTTATTATATTATACCACATGGAAACATTGCTATATGATGAGATGGGAATTTATGGACTGACTGATTTTGGTGTTCTCTTTATTGCAGGAATTTTATGGTGATTACATTGCCGTGAATCCACATTTGTTTTCCCTCAATATTTTGGGTTGCTGCCAGGTATAAAAAATGAATTTATCACGTGGGAATTAATTCAGCAAGTAATTTGATTTATAAAAGAAAATTCAAATATTTTCTTTGTGTATATGTATTTAACAAAAAGGGTCGAAATTGGGATCCAGCCCAGCTATCCAGAACAACTCAGGGACTGACAGCTCTCCTTTTATCTCTGAAGAAATGTCCCATGATTCGTTATCAGCTTTCATCAGAAGCAGCAAAGAGACTTGCCGAATGTGTTAAGGTATAGCATTGCTTATCCCAGTTCCAGAACATGAAGGCCATTAATTTCCCTATGGAAGAGAATGCTACTTTATAGTTTAGAAAAGGAAAAAAAAAATTGTAGACCCAAGAAGATGATGTGTTAGATTACTGGCAAAGAGGTAGGCATTTGCAATTTAAAACCAAAAGCGACAAATTAGAGCTAAGGTTCTTAGGTTTTAACTCAGGAAACATCCACAAGCTATTCACGTATTTTGGCCCATTTAAACCAGATGTAAAATAGGGTTTCAAACCCTAATCTCATTTAAATAAAATACTAATCAGCTACGAAGCTGTTGATTCCTTTTATGGAAGGCCTATGCAGGTGCAAAAAAAAAAAAAAAAACCATTAAATGTGGTTCTATGTATTAGTTTCCTATTAATATCATCTTAATCTGCAACCAACTAATTGACCAAACCATCTTTCTCTCTCATCCACAGCAAGTGATAACAAAAGAATATGAACTTTTTGAATTTCGGCGAACTGAGGTTCCTCCATTGCTACTTATTTTAGATCGCTGTGATGATGCCATCACCCCATTGCTAAACCAGGTGTGAAATAGACCTTTATTCGGAAAATCCATGGTTTTAAGTAGTATCTATCAAAATGCAGACATGGAAATTAGCAGCATGATTCATTTCTTTGCTTCCTTATTTTCAGCTGTTCTTGTTTTTGCCTTGTGTTTCCTGATGTTTGTGTTTCATTATTATTCCCACCATACTTATCTTTGACTTTTCTTCTGTCTCATCCTTCCTTTTCTTTTCTACTACTATTTCCCACCTCTAATAAAGACAACTTTTAAATTCTACTGATAGTACTTTTCTGGTGTGTCTCTCTGTCTGCTCTTTTCCACTTGTGCGCCTATTACCTTAGTGCAGACCCTAATCTTCTGCAGGAATACTTAAATGGTCACCTAACTGACTCCCCACTTTTCATTTCTTCTCATGTTAGTATACCCCACAGACATTGTTGTTGTTGAGTGCTGTTGAGTTGGTTCTGAGTCATGGTGGTGGTTGGTTGCTATGTGCCATGGAGTCACTTCTGACTCATAGTGACCCTGTACAGGGTTTCCGAGGGTGTAAATCTTTACGGGAGCAAAGAGCCTCATCGTTCTCCCACGGAACAGCTGGTAGTTTCAAACTGCTGACCTTGCGGTTTGCAGCCCAGTTCGTAACCACAAGGCTACCAGAGCTCCTTGGTTCCAACCCATAGCAAACCTGTATAGAGTTTATGAGAAGCAGCTGGTGAGCTTAAACTGCCGACCTTGTGGTTCAAACTGACTTTGCAGTCCAGTACATTAGCTCACAGTGCCACACCAGGATTCCACACCACAAACATATTATTGTTAAATTACTTTTCTTAAAACACAGCTGTAATCCTATTAACCCCCTGGCTTAAAAATATTTATTGGTTTTCTTTTGCCTTGGGTTAAATCCAAAAGCAACAAATTAGAGCTAAGATTCACAGATTTTTAACTCAGGAAAAATCCACAAACTATTAAAGTCCTGGTGTAACGCTATGAGATAAATCACTGGACTGCAAGGTAGGTTTGAACCAAAAGGTCTGTAATTCAAACTCACCAACCACTCCTTGGAAACCTTAAACAGGGTCACTATGAGTCAAAATTGACTCGACAGCACTTAACAACAACAACAACTGGGTTAAGTATAAACTCATTAGCTTGGCATCCAAGAGTCGTCACAATAATGGCACAACCTCACATAAAACTAGACAGGTCACTGCTGTTCAAATATGCTCCCATGGTTTCTGCCACCATCCTTTTATTAATATTGTAACCTCTGTCTAAACTGTAGAATTTTTTAACTACTTTCTTTTCCATCTCTACCTATCAAAATACTTCCTTAAAGCCACTCAAAAGCCATGTAACTTTTCCTTGCAGTAAAATGTTAAATATTCTTCCTGTCAAACATTTTCTTTCTTTTCTCCCTAAGGTCACTGTACAACTTTGTGTCTCTTACATCTCATACTTTCTTGACATGCTGCATCTTTGTTTGTTTTCACCCTTCCTTTAAGACAGACTGTCTTACCAGTGTTTGTTCTCCTTCAAGTATAAGAACAGTACCTTGCTATTGGTGCTTTATTAATAGTGAATATGAATTTTTTGAGAAAGATTCACTCTGTTTCAGTTTCTTCCCAGCTTATAATGTTAATGCTGCGCGAAATCTGTGGTTCTGGAATGAAACTGCTCGGTGGTATAAGATAGCCTTTGTTGTTGTTAGTAAGTGCAGTCAAGTTGGTTTTAACTCATAGCAACCCTGTATGGGGTATCCAAGGCCGTAAATCTTTGTGGGAGCAGATAGACTCATCTTTCTTGTGGAGAGTGAGAAATAGCCTTATATAACTAAAATTCAAAGTAAAACATTCTCACTAGAGAAACTTTTGAACATATAAAAAAAAGTAGAAAGAAAAATTGTAGTTGTTGTTAAGTGCTGTGGAGTTGTTTCCAACTCCTAGCGACCCTGTATAGGGTTTCCAAGAGGGGTTGATGAGTTTGAACTGCCGACCTTGTAGTTCAAACCAACTTTGCGGTCTGGTGCATATCATACTGCACCACACCAGGACTCCAGAAAGAATAATAATTACCTGTAATTCTGTTTTCCAAAGACAATCAATTATTAACAAATTCCACTGAGGACCTGCTATGTACCAGATACTGTACTAAGTTCTTGAGATGAAAGGGTGAAAGATACAGTCTCTGCCCTCAAAGAGTCATGGTCCAATGGGAACAGAAGACAATTTAAATTATATGAGGGGGCCTCAAAAAGGTCATGGAAAAATTCCATAATCTTTTTATTCCAATTTTTTCCCATGAACTTTTTGAAGTCCCTTCATATAATAAAGTGTTGTGGTAGAAGTACATTATGCTACCTGTGAAACACGAAGCATTTTGTTGTACTTAAATACTCTAATAGAACATAATTTTTCAAGGATTCCTTCTTATATAAACTCTTAAATTATTTGATAAATCTAGATTGCTTAAAATGAAGTATACCAATATGAACTTTTCTAGCATATCAAGATTTAGAAGACAAATTACTGGAAATTACTTACTTTTGTTCTAATGGGCTTATCACTAAATTAATTTGTGCTCCATACATGGTGAGAAGGCAAAATTTGGGTTTTCTCCTTTCCAGTTTTACCAAGTAAGTTCATTCACTCTTTGTAAAATTGGAAACCAGTCCTTCACAGTTCATTTTAAGTAAAAATATAAAATAAAATGGATGCAGAAGCAAGTTTCTGAATGTGCCAGTGTTTTGATCAACTCAGAAGGTTTGTTCTGATAATATTAGTGTTCTCAGGATAAATATAGCACCACTGAGATCTGCAAGAGCACACTTCTCATGTCACAGAAAACCACAGAGGCATACAGGAAATGGTACAGCTTGTAACTGCAGTACCAATATAGCCCTATCTGTGAAGCCAAAAATATTCTCTTAATTCACAGGCAAAGAGGGAGCTAATGATAGATCTAATTTGTTTTCTTTCTATCAGGAAAATTAATCTTGTTACCCTTTTTCCAAAAGTGTAAAATCTAACAGTATTTTGACATTTGAGTGTCTAACCAATTAAGATACACTCTTAATGCTTATTATAGCATAAAATATTAATATAATTTGAATTAAATAGAGAAACCCGATATAAAAAGGGCTAATTACTAAGAATTTTATTAAATTTTATTTTCCTGAACATCTTCTGGTTCTACGTTTTGACATTTACCAATTTTTGTTGTTGTTGTTGTCATAATTCTTCATTTAGTGGACATATCAGGCCATGGTCCATGAGCTTTTGGGCATAAACAACAACCGGATTGATCTTTCCAGAGTACCAGGGATCAGTAAAGACTTGAGAGAAGTGGTCCTGTCTGCTGAAAATGATGAATTTTATGCAAATGTAGGTATTATTTTTGGTATTTTCTTTTATAAAGTAATTATTTTTATGTAATGAGGTTAATATGGGCTTCTTAGAATGGGAACCTGTATGGCATTTCATGAAGAAGGATGTAGCTAACCTGCATCCTAAGGAAAGCCAGAAGACTTGGATTCTGATCCTTTACAATATTTTTTTTCATAGAAACCACATACTTTAAAATTTTTTTTAACACAATTTAGGTACTTCCCTTCCTATGTAGTAGGCCTTTGTGAGAATAATAATGGTATTCATCATCAGTGTCCTGGCCTATGCCCAAGTTTGATAAGTATAATGGAATTTTTGCCTTTCAATTCTAACTGTATACAAGATTCTTTTTCACTTCTTTTAAATTGTCTGAAAGTCCGACTAGTTGATGGAACTGTATTTTTAACTTCCTTTTTCACAGAACATGTATTTGAACTTTGCTGAGATTGGTAGCAATATAAAGAATCTCATGGAAGACTTTCAGAAGAAGAAACCAAAAGAACAGCAAAAACTAGAGTCAATAGCAGACATGAAGGTAAATTGAACATGTACTTTTATGACTAACATGTAAGACTTTGGAAATGTTCATATAAGCAACATTTCTGGAATCTTCTAGGCCTGATGTCAATCTTGATTCATTATACTCGGTTTGAGACTTACTTTCTGGAGTAATGTCTCTCTTTAATAAACAATATAGTGAAAAATTCATAATAAGCCATGCTTCTTTCCATTCTTCAGTCATATTTGTACTGTTTAAAAATCCAGTCTGCTGACATATACCCATTCTTTTCTTTTTAAGCATAACAAAACGTCACGTGATTGAAAGTTGTAGGTTCCTTAGTCTGGGCAGAAAACAATCCCTGCTTCTTTTCTTTTTTCCATCTTAATACATGCCTGTCCTCAGTCAAGAAATAACAAAACCTCCTATTGATATTTCCCCATGGCAGGCATTTGTTGAGAATTATCCACAGTTTAAGAAGATGTCTGGAACTGTATCAAAGCATGTGACAGTGGTTGGAGAGCTGTCTCGATTGGTCAGTGAACGGAATCTGCTGGAAGTTTCAGAGGTTGAACAAGAACTGGCCTGTCAAAATGACCATTCTAATGCTCTCCAGGTATCTATTCAGTCCTATCTGATGAGCACTTACTATGTGTAAGTCACTGTGCCAATTTAACAAGAGATGCAAAGAATAAGAGGTACATCTTTTTTTTTTTTACCAATATGAAATTTACAGTCTAAGAAGGAGCTGAGACAAGAGCACAAATTATTATTTAAGGTAGATGGACCATAAGAGCCACAGGAGAAGTGCCTCATGCAATGAGGATTTCAAAGGGTTCAATCAGTTACTTGATTATGTATGAAAGTACCTCTGTCTACTAGCAGGAGCACTAAACTAGAATCAGAAGATTGGATTGCAGTATTTGGTTTGCTACGTCCTGGCTCTGTGATCCAGAGCTATTGACTTAATCTCTGAGTCAGTTTTCTCATTTGTAAAATAGGTATAACAATACTTATCACACCAGGTTGTTGAGCAATTTAAAAAGATAAAATACGTATGAAACTATATTGTCTAAGTTTTAAAAAAATTATTGTTGAACTTACGGTTTTATTTTCACAAATATGGGAATGTCTGCAACAAGTACACACTGATATGAGGGTCTAGAGAGACTGTATTCATTTCCTACGGCTACCATACACTGGGTAGCTTAAACAACAGATATTTATTCTCACAGTCCTGGAACCTAGAAGTCTGAAATCAAGGTGTTGGCCAGCCATGTTCCCTCTGAAGCCTTTAGGGGAAGAATTCTTTGCCTCTTTCTAGATTCTGGTAGTTGCCAGCAATCTTTGATGTTCTTTGTGTTGTGGCTGTATCCTCCATTCTCTTCCTCTGTGGTCTTATTATAAGGAAGCAGTCATTGCATTTAGGACCCAAACTAAATGAGTATAGCCTCATTTTAACTTAATTATTATATCGACAAAGACTTTATTTCCAGTTAAGGTCACATTCTGAGATTCTAGGTGGATGTGAATACTGGGGGACAACTATTCAACTCAGTATAAGCACAAGGGTGAATAAGATAGAATCCTTCTCCTTAAAGAGCTCACACTATAATAGGAAAGAAAAAAGTTTAAACCATGAATCATAATTCCATGCAATAAATGTTGGAAAAGGTATATGGAAACACAGAAAAAGGAGCAACTAATAAGCATAAAAGGCTTTTTAGAGAAGATGGCATTAGATTTGCGTATGGACAGATTAATAAGTAGGAGTGTATCATGCAGAGAAAGGGAGGAAACATTCTTGTCAGAGAATGCAGTCATGGAGATGTGAAAAAAATAAAAACAAAACAGTGAGGCAGTTCCATGTAGCTAATACAGGGTACAGTATGAAAACTGGTTGTACATAAGCCAAAAAAAGTTAGGGGACTAATTAGACCCTTAATCTTAAAATGACTGGGTACTACCACAGGAGTTAAAAGGAAAGACCCTGGTCTCCATATTTACAGTCTAACTTAAGAAGCAAAATTAAAGACAATTAGATGATGTTTCAAGATAGCATTTAAGTAGCTCAGAATTATGATACTGATTATAATAAGATACGAGGTTATTTAGGACAGTTTCTCAGAGAAGATGTTATTAGGATGACCTTAAAGAATGATTGGAATCTGAAGGAGGTTTTCAGACAGGGAAAACAGCAAAAGCAAAGTGCAGAAGTATGCAGGAAATAATAAAGTTTGACCTGTTGAGAGTGGGTCTGGAAGAGAAATAGGAGATAAAATTTAATTGGTGAACATGAACTAATTTATGGAGAGGCTAGTGAGAGAAATTTTTGCTTGCCAAGTAGACAAAAAAAGCCCTGGTGGTACAGTGAGTTAAGCATTGAGATGCTAACCACATGGTTGACAGTTCAGACCCACTAGCTGTTCCTCAGGAAAACAATGAAGCTGTCTGCATCCATAAAGATTTACAAACTCAGAAAGAAGAGCAGTCCTCTGTCCTATAGAGTTGTTATGAGTTGGAATTGACTTAGTGGGAATGGTTTTGGCTTTTGGTTTTTTGAGATTGGCAAAGAGATCCTTTGTAAGGTCTTATGTAGAAAGTTGAGGGGATGAAAGCAGTGTTTTAGGAAATTATTGGAAATTTAATCTAATAAGAATGCTTTCGAGATGGAAAAACTAAAGTCAGAGGCTAGTAGATTCCTAGTGACATTAATAAGGGGCAGATCTGAACGTATTCAAAGGTGAGAAAACAAGACTTTAATGTGGATGTAAGGGTAGCAGCCAGCACAAAACACATGATCCCAAGGGTCATAAAAAAATGGCAAAATATAATTTAGGATTAAAAGTCCTTTGGGATATAGCCATTTCTAAGCCACTAGTAAGAAACACAAATCCTAATTAATTACCCATTGCTCTCTAGTAGCTTCCAACTCATAGTAACTCTATAAGACGGGAAGACTGTCCCATGGAGTTTCTAAGGTTATAATCTTTACAGAAGTGAGCTTGAACTGCTGACCTTTGGTTAGCAGCCAAGTGCTTAATCACTGCGTTGCTAGGGTTCCTTTCCTAATTGTTGTCGTTGTTAAGTGCTGTTGAGTTAGTTCCCACTTTGTGGTTCCCAGTGCAGCACTGATCCTATAGCGCACACCAGGAGACCACTCCTAATTATTAAGAGTCCTGGGGTGGCACTGTAGCATAAAACGCTGGACCACAAGGTCGGCAGTTCAAACTCACCAAAAACTCCTTGGAAACCCTATACAGGGTCACTATGAGTCAGAACCAACTTGATAGCAGTTAATGACAATAATTATTCTAAAGCTTAGTCTCTTTCTTTCGTACAGTTCTATTTTATTTATAAAATAAAGTTGGCATGATATAATGTAAATACCATAGGTTTTACAGCCTGGCTCTCCTGGCTTATATAATCCTGTCTCTACTTAACAAAGTTTCTTTGGGGAAATTACTTTGTTCAAGCCTCAGTTTCCTATCAGTAAAATGGGGGTAGTGATTTCAAACTTTTTGTTAGAAGGATTCAACAAGATATATAAAATACTTCACATATATTAATAAGCCCTGGTGGCACTGTAGGATAAGCACTGGACTGTGGCATTGTGGGATAATGCGCTAGCCTGAAAGGTCAGTTTGAACCGCAAGATCGGCGGTTCAAACTCACCAGATGCTCCTTGGAAACCCTATACAGGGTCGCTATGAGTCAGAACTGACTCGATGGCATTTAACAACAAACCACAAGGTCAGTCGTACAAGCACACCAGTTATTCTGTGAGAGAAAGAGGAGGCTGTCTTCTCCCGTAATGATTTACAGTTTTGGAAACCGGATATAGAATCACTATGAGGCTGAATCAACCCAATGGCAGTGGGTTTGGTTTGGTTTTGGTTTCCCATATAATAGGTGTTTTGTAGATATCCTTTCTCTAAGCATAATATATATTTTATGAGAAAAAATATATTTAGAGAATATCTTAGAGAAAGCATATTGTTGTTGTTGTTAAGTGCCATCGAGTCGGTTCCGACCCATAGCGACCCTATATAGGGTTTCCGAGGGTGTAAATCTTTACGGGAGTAGAAAGCCTCATCTTTCTCCCGCGGAGCGGCTGGTAGTTTCGAACTGCTGACCTTACGGTTCGTAGCCCGATTCGTAACCACTACGCTACCAGAGAAAGCATATACATATATATATATACACACACACACAAAGTCGGTTTGATCCACAAGGTGGATGGTTCAAGCTCACCAACTACTCCTCAGAAACCCTCTAAAGGGTCACTATGGGTCAGAACCAACTTGATGGCACTTACCAACAACAGCAACATGTAAAAGTATGGTACAACCAAAAGAAAGAAATCCATCTATGGTGATCTAGTTATACTGAAGTCTTTTCCGAGTTTTATAGTAGTTGGTTTTCAGTTTTTTTAAATGTTTGTCAAGGTTTCCTCTGAAAGCACTACCATTTTTTAAATCATAAATATGCTGTTTGTTTTATATTTATGAGAAGTACTCTGTCATCTCTATATTAATGGTGCCCCTGTGTTCTTAAATCTTCACAGAGAATTATAAGTTTTTAGGCTAACTTTATTATTTCTTTTTTTAGCTGTAAAAAAATACATATAACACAATGTGTGCCCATTCACCATTTTTTTACATGTACAATTCAGTGACACCAATTGTATTAATGAATCATGTGAAACCATCACCATTTTCTATTGTCAAGTTTTCTATCACCATAAACAGATACTCAGTGATTCCTAAGCAGTGACCTCCCTGTTCTCCCTCCCTTCTGCTCCTGGTAACCACTAATAAACTTTGGTTTGTACACATTTATCTATTCTAGATAGTTCAGATAAATCAGATTATAAATATTTGTCCTTTTGTGATTGACTTGTTTCAGTCAAGCATGATGTTTTCAAGGTTCGTATGTATTTTAGCATATATCAGGACTTTGTTTCTTTTTGTGACCAAATCATATTCCATTGTATGTATACACCACATTTTGTTTATCCATTCTTCTGTTGATGGACATCTTGCTTGTTTCCACCTTCTAGCTATTGTAAATAATGCTGCCTTTAGCATTGGTATATGTGTCTGCTTGTGTTGCTACTTTCAAGTCTCTTGTGCATATACCTAGAAGTAGAATTTGGGAGCTATATGTTATTTCCATCTCTCTACGACTTGACGGCACTTAATAACAACAACAATCCCTTCCTTGGCATTCTGGTCTGGTGTTGTACGATAAGCATGATTCTTCTAGCCCAAAGGTCAGTGGTTCAAACCCAGCTGCTCCCTAGAAACCCTATACAGGCACTTAACAGCAGCAACATGGTGGTTCAGTGTTCACCCTAAACTATTTTCCACAGTGTCTATACCATTTTGCATTCCCACCAACAAAGGGCAAGACTTCCAGTTTCTCCAATTCCTTGCCAACAATTGTTGGTTTCCGGATTTTTGGGTTTGTTTTTGTTTTTTTAAAATCTTAGTCATTCTACTAGGGGTGAAGTGGTGTCTTATTATGGTTTTGATCTGCATGTCCATGTGGACTAAGAGGAGTCCTGGTATGGCAGGTTAATGTGCTGGACTGCAGGGTCGGTTAGAAGCGCAT